AAAGTTAGACAAAGAGGAGCATTTATATGACGATACCGAGATAAAATTTATACATAATGGAAAAATGTTTACGTGTATCGTCGCTACAGTAAAGTCGCCAAGAAGGATTTGAAAATTGAAATTTAAAGAATATCCTTTAGAAACATTTGTACACGAAAAGAATGCTAAAGTACCTAAAAATTTAGCTGAATCTAAAAATAATTTTGTTGAACTATCAAAATAATAATGTAGAACGCCCAAACATAATGAGCAATGTTGCAAGAAGTTTTGACATTCTAGCAACCAACTTGAGCGTCCTACATGCACAATTATTTTATTACGATCTAACAAAATTATTTTCACATTTGTAAATTTTTAGATACTTTAGCAAAACCGTTGTTTCCGTGCATTATCAACAATTATAAACTTGATAATTTATTACGTATAGCAATATATATCCGTAGCTCCGCGAAAAATGGTTCATTTACGAATAAGCCATTACAGGATCGATTGCTAAAGAGCCTAACGACACACACGGGGGAAAGCTAATGTTTCGAGCAATACGGCTTGTACCAAAAACGTGATCAACGAGAGGACATAATTCGTAGAACCTCAGACTAATGGCCATCTGTTCCCGCGGTTCAAGTAATTACAGCGGTAAAGCGCGGTTCTTAATTCCTGCGATTAATCCACATTTCACGCGGTACATTCGGAATGATTTAAGAAATTTCACGATGAGACGACCGCGATAATAACGCGCGTGAAATGTAACGTTTAATTTGCCTCGAGCGCGGGGCACGCACCGCGGTATTAGACGGGGTGGTGAGCGGCGATGTTGAGAATGATAACTAATTCACGCCACGTAATCTCGAAGAAAAACACCATTCCCGTTATACGCCACGTCGTATAACCGGTGCACATTGAATAATGGCGCGCATTATACGCGCCAAGACTGCACATTTTGCAAGAACGCGTCACCTTTCGCGCGACAATTTTCGAAACGTGTCATTTTACGTTATGGATCGTCAAAACCTGACTTCCGGCTCGTGTCGAGACGGGCGACTGACGCGGCGCTCTTCACGCTATCAAATGTCATCCGACAAAATGTAAAATAAAACAACGCGTGTACGTTGCAGCTCATGAAATAAATTACAAATATTCGCATGGAAAAATCTATTAATACATTAGGTACGTCGAGAAACACGCCACCGTTGCTCATGTTCCAAACACTTTAGAAAGAAAAATGTTTATCTTCAAAGCCCAATGGGAATAGATATGCAGGTTTCCAACTTCGGCCATCTGGGTACAAAGTTCTGTCGCTTTTCCAGAGTTGAGAGTTGAAAATTCGCTATCGCTATTGAATGCCATGAATAAAACCCTATTTACGTCTAAGTCCCCCCTCCCACTCCTGCGCGGTTAGAGTGAAATTTATTCATTAATGAGACCGCGCGTTTTCAATAAAATTTAAGTCAACTTTTTTTCCTCTCCTGGAGTTTTCTTTTCTTTTTTTTTCAAATACCGCTTCGTTCCTTTTATCTCGCCTTTAGGGATTAATCCGAGAAGGAAACTCGGCGCGCGCGGACTTCAAAGGAGATGCTTATTTGTGAGAGAAGGCGTTAATGGCGCGCCCTAAATGCATATCTCCGCGAGGAGCGGAAAATAAGCGGCGAGGCAAATGGAGAGTTCTAAACACTCGGGGGGGGGGGGTTCTTACGACTATCATTCAAACCGTTCGGCCCACTCGCGCCCGCGGTATAACGTCAGGGTATATACCGGCGGAGCATGTGCCTGCGCTATGGAGCGGCGCAGCCACTTCGGGGCAATTTATTTCGTTCCTTCCCCGCGTCGAGATATCGTACCGTCGCGGAAAGAGTGATGGATGTTGGGGCGTCGCTTCTACGCGAAACGTACGAAACACGCGGAGCGCCGTTAAGGTCGAGTGCTTCAGATGTAGGACACTTTATACCCCGCTCCGCTTTCCTTCCCTCCTCGGGACGTCCTTCCTCCACCGCCCCCGTCACCACTGGAGAGTTCCACAGATTCTCAATAACACGCACCAATTTATCGATCGGCACGGCGTGTCCGTTTGAATTAGTTACGCGCGCGAGTGGGGTAGAACGCGAGTGAGTTAACAAAGCGCCGTCTCGCTTTGAAGGGCCGCGAGAAGAAACGACGATCCCGAGAGGATGATGAGAGAAGCTTTTCGGAAACTACGTTACTACGTGAAACGTAGTAAAACTAACGGGTAACTGCCCTCAATTTCATACGCAGTCTTGCTCTCGAACCTCGTAATTTCGGTAAACAAGAAGAAGTTTATAACACAGCGCCATATACCGATACTCCTGTTTATCTTCTACGAGAAACTGAGGTTAATAATAATCTCTATTATGATAGACGCTAAAGCGCGAATATTGCGCAGAATATAACAAAAATAATTTGAACAAAAAACGAGATCAATATTATTTTGCACAGTGAGAATAAATAGGAATAATTTTCTTTTAATGTTAAAACATTTGTATGTAGCTATATCAATATTTCTTTATATAACTATGTATAGATTTAAATAATAATGAAATAAAAAGGCTCTGAGAATCAATCGATAAAGAAAGAGAAAGCCTAATAAAACTAACGCGGGTATTAATGTGTAATGTTAACATTTATTTTTTATAGTAATGTGAATATAAAAAAACGCTTCAACCATCGGTTTTGGTCTCTCCCCTTCAATGCGTAAATATGATAATCTTTGATAGCAATTTAGATCTAAATTTAAAACTGAGATTACGCAAACAATAAATATTAATAACGTCAAAAATTGTATATAATTAATTAGAACAAATAATTATAACAAATTATCGATGCACAATTATACAATCAAAAAGGTAACTAGAAAAATTTAAGATATTACTGTCCGGTGGTGGACCAATATTGCAAAAACGCAATGTAGTCAAGAGGAAAATTTGGCCGTGACCAATATTTAGAGAGTAAAAACATTTTTAAATTAAGCTAAAATGAAACTACAAATGGAAGATTTCTGATTGCAGAAGAGGTAAGCAAGCAGACTTTACAATTAAAGTTATGAATTAAAACGTAAACTTATAGTTTCTAAGCCGACAGCGCGACCGTATCGAACAAAATTTGATAATGCAAACACGGCGATGAGCGAGCAAAAACAGAGATTTAAAACTAATGTGTAATAAATTAAAATATAAAAAAATGTATAACATTAGTTATAAAAACCGTCAATAATATCGTTATAATAAGGATCCTGAAGGTCTGGGTCGTTCTTTGTTCAAATTCAAATCATTTGATTATTTTTTAATATGTATTGCTTCAGAAATTAGTTTTATTTAAATAGCCACCGTTTTAATCGTTCATTATATTACATCACAATATAATTTGACTTGTTATTCTATGTAGAAGTATGCAATGTTCAGCAATGTTTGGCAATCTATTATTGTCGTGACATTTTTGGATACGAGGTGTGTCGTAATTATCCCGGTGTATCAGAATGCTATATTGGAATACTCGCGCCATGAAAACAGTACACGACTGCAGCCGTCAAATCAAACTCTCGGATAACTCCGGGGGAAAAAAATTTTCTCGTTTCGCCGCACTAATAATTTTATTCCGCAAAAACGCCCAGTATTCAAATATTCAATATTCATGTATTCGATGTGAAAACGTTCGCCCGGCTCCAGGTGTAGAACATCACGAATATGTGAAAAATTGCCGCGAGCTACATGAATAACGCGAGGGAGCGACTCTCTCCCTCCCCTTATTCGTTGAGGGAGATGAATTACTAGATTCCAAATCAGCTGTGAAAATTTGAATAAAACAAAAGTTCGTCGCGCGCGCGCGCAACGCGATGTGACGTGTTTAAAATTTCTGCGGGCTCGTACCGTCTGGCGTTGCCCTAAGAGTCCCGGAGCATGTGATACGATATGAAATGCGAAATATTATAGAACGCAGCCGCGAGTGCAGCCAACGAAAAATCGTCGCACCATCGGCGCCTCGCTTTACAGTTCAACCGACAACGATCGATATCTTTTTATTCCCTTTTCCACAACATCCAAGTAAGCGGAAGGTCCGGTTTATGCCGTTGATTAAAATGCGGATTAACAATCACCGACTCGCGTGGAACGAAACAACCCTTCCACGACAAGGGAGAACGCGGGGCCGCGAGTGGGAGAAGGTGCATGACCCGGGGGCCGCTCGCTGCTACAACCTCACCATCATTACGTATAACCCGTAAGCAAATCTCTCGGCCTCTGAGAATATGCGACTTTGAACTTTGCAAAAGGGCTTTAACCCTTGCGGCAGGACTGTTACTCCGCAATTTACAAAGTGCTCAAATATCGATATTTGAACAATGGTTAGCCGCGAACGATCGCTTAACAGAAGGTAGAATAAAAGGTAACAATGAATGCGCTCACAGCAGAAAAAGAAGCTTTGCAATTATTGTAAGATTCTTTAATACGATTGGTTTATACATTTAGAATCTGAGAATCCATGAGAAACTAAGAGCAAAAAGCAATCATATTAAGGAATCTTTACAACAATTGCAAAGCTACTTTTTCTGCTGAATGCACACACATACACACAGCCAATGGCATTAAAATTCCCAACAGTCTCACCCCATTACCATTTCTTTTCGAATACTTTTTATCTCTCTTCTACGATCGCTTTCTCTCCGCGGGAATATTAATTTCTCGACTATTTCTTAGTATTAATTTTTGCCGTAAATAATCCGCTTATTAATTCACGTCGGAGACATTTATTCCTCGTTGAAGATTCGAGTAACACACACCGTCTCACCATTCGAAACGCTTGAAAACGAGCACGACGCCGAGTGAGAGCTGCACTCATGCTGAGAAATATCTCCATTCACCACATAGCGCACTGGTGCGTATCACACAAACACGAAATAACGAATAGAGCCGTGAGAAGGAATTGAGAGAACTACACACTATATTGCGTGAAGAACTACACTGCGCGCACTAATCACAAGCCTGATCACTCACCTAGCTGGACGTACATCTTCGGCCTGACGTTCTCCTGCCAGGCAGCCAGGGCGAGAGTGATCGTCGCGATGACGCACCAGCAGACCAGCAATCCCGGTTGCATCCTGGGGGCGACGCGGATGAGGCTGGCGCGCCTCATCTTCTCCACGCGATGGTGTCGCAGCGGCGTACAATGGGACGATGACGTGCCAGGGTTCGCAGTCTCCTCCGCGGGCACCGAAAATCACCGCAAAGGGCACACGCGAGAACGGAACGGAACGGAACGGAACGGAACGGAATGAAACGAAACGAAACGAAACGGAATCCGGCAGGAATCGCGCACCGTACGTATTGTATACGTACGTGTATATCACCGGTCACACTGCGCTCCGCGCGCGCGATGGAGCACGCTCCACGCTCGGCAACGACGACGACGACAACGCCCGCGGCGCCGCAGTGCGCGCTATCTCGGGTACGCGGGGAAGAGCGCGCGCGCGCGCGCGCGCGTTACTTTCTCTCGTTGCGATCACTCACTGCGCGGATGCCGCGGCGGCAGTCACGTGCGACGCGACCACGTCGTTCCCCGTCGTTGCGGTCGTTGCATCCACGGTCGTCCACCGGCGGCCCGCCGCACGCATGTCTTACCGAGGACGGTCGGCCGCCCCGCAGCGGCCAAGCGGCACATTCACGTTTCGAGGGACCGGAGCGGCGCGCGTTCGGCACGCGCGCGCCGGCGCACGGCGTCGTGGAACGCGCGAAAAAAAAAACGGAGTAAAAGTCCACTGGAGTCGGCACCACTCGCGGCTTCACGCGTTCACGCGTTCAAGCGTCCACGCGCGAGCGCCCGTTATCGCGAGCGACACGAGCGACCCTCGTACGCCTCTCGTACGGAGAAACTATAATCGCGCGCGTATCAACCGTCCGCGCCCACTGACGCTCGCCGTCACACTGATGTCGCGACAGGTGACGCGCGCTCCCCACCAAGTGGCGCGCTCCCCACCGAGTGGTGCGCTCCCCATCAAGCGGCGCGCGCTTCGCTACGCCGCTCCGCGCTACCGCGGGCGCAAGCGTGCAGCGTTCTAACGCGCTTTCTCCGCTCTCACCTCTCTCTCTCTCTCTCTCTCTCTCTCTCACTCTCTCCGCCGCGGAACTGTGTCTGTATGCGTGATTACGCGTGACCGGCGCGGGCGTACGCGTACGCGCGACGTGCACGCACGTGGATATGGCGTTGGGAACTCCACGGGCAGTATGCGCAAAGAACGGGGGAAAGATAGGGGTAGTAGATCTCTGGTGGGACACCCGAGCGATCGAGGGGCGAGAGTCGGAGGAGAGAGAGAGTGTGTGTGTATGTGTGTCTATGTGACACCGGGCAAGCGCCGATTTTCAACCCCACTATCCCCCGCCCCGGCAGCGCGATCACGCCGTTGTCGTCTTCCACGTCGGTGTCCTCGTCGGTATCTCACCGTAGCCGCCACAGCGTCGCTAGTCTGGAACGAGAAAAAGAGGGATCGTTATTTAGGTCGGTCAAGGATACTTCAACAACGTTGATGTTTTCTTGCAATACTTTTGCCTTGTCTTAGATATTTTTGACTTAATTCGAGGTAACGGTGTCGCATATTAAATTGTAATCTTCAAGGAGACAGCTGCGAATTCAATTTTTATAAAAAATAATCGAATTTTCAATGCATTCTTATCTTTCAACTATATTGTGTGAGAGACAGAGTGAAATTTCGTGAAAGATTCTTAAGATTTAATTGCCAAGTTAATTATAAGTGACATCGCGAGAGAAGGAAGATCCCAGTGAGATCGTGATTAAAAAGGTCAACTTTATAAATCCGTCCAACTGGTGGAGAACTTATTGCGTGAAATCTCATTTGCGCCCTAAACAAATCGGATTTCATAGCCCGAAATTTCTGCAAGCTCGAAAACCGCAAAGAGTCAGAGTGAACGAAGAAATCCGATTACGATTCGATTTCGCGTAAACGCACGCGCGCCCGGCGAGTCCCGCGGGGTCCGGCGCGGCGCCCAAATAAGGTTTCATCACGCAGAAAGTCCTGGCTGCGGTGGGATAACGAAATTATCCAAATGCGACTGATTCGTCAGCGAATTTTATGAACGTATCCTGTATGCGCGGTGCGTAGCGATGCCGCCGACGTTGACACTGTTCATTAATTTGGCGAGCCAAGTGTAGAGGAGGGAGAGGGGGAGGAGGGGAGCGTGCCGGGGGTGGTCGAACACCGCGGGGAAGGAGGGATAGGTATGTGTGCACCGAGACTCTAATTCCTACACCAATGATTGGACATGCCTGCACGAGGGAATTCGCCGGGTGTCCGCGACGTGTACACGCAATTCCGCGTGGATATGCGTGTCCGCGCGTACACGCGCGTCGTCTGGCATTCCCGCTCCTTTAATTCTCGATCCGCTAAAACAGGTGTGATATATTCGCGATATTAGCACGTCATGCAATTTTTTTTAGGACAATTAAAAAAAAGGATTAATTTATCTCACATCCATTTTTTTTTTTTAGAAAACTCTTAAACATTTCATACATCACTTTTCTTTTGTGTCTCAATCTTTAACTTTTTATATTCCAAGTATACTTATCTTTAATATGATTACTCCGAAAATTTCTCGAAACTAGACTCGTAATTGAAGCTGATATTTTGGCTTATTACATTAACTATAAGACTAACAAGGAAAAAGATAAAACGCAAATATGTGACTTGTAGCTTTAAAGCTACATTAAGATAGGGGATGAAGTACTCGTATAACGTATGTTAAGTCCTCATATGAATTTTCATGGCGTAATATTCACGGCGGTCGTTTATTTCATAATTAGTACAACCTCCGAGCAAATGGAGTTATTCGACCATACGTTGTTTCATTCGCTTGGAACGAGCAGCGACGCGGAAGAATAACATGGGATGTGAACTGCCAGTAAAATATTAATAAAAAAGAATCCGAACTGTCATGAACGTTGCTATGGCGGTATCTCAATTTACTGATACGATCCATAGTGCGCTTCTAATTGTCAAAATAATCTACTTCATAGATTCTTCTTTGAAATGTATACGGTTATGGTTAGCGTTAATTTGAAAAAAAAAATTCGTTTTTTAACATGCAAAACAATGATTTCAAGCTTGGACTGTAGTTCGTTCGACATTCACGTCCGTACAAAATGAAATATAATGGAGTATACAGTGTAAGCCATCTAAAGCGATAAGTGACCATAACGAGAGAAGAAACGACACATAAAAGATACGTGCGCCGCAATATCGCCGTCAATCGTAGCGCACGTACGCGTTTCGCTTATGGAGCGATTTAAACTGGCAGTACGACTTATATATCATCGTATCTAACACCTGCTTTAATCGGATAATGCTGTTACAACAAATAATATAACTTCGCGTTTACTCGAAATCGGAAGCACAACAGTTGGTATGTGTGACATAAATGTTTTACTTTAATGTATCGACTTTCATAACATGGGAGGGGGGGGAGGGATAAATGTAAAACTTTTATTTTTAATTTTTATATATGCAATATGGTACTTGCACTATGAAGAGAATTCAAGAGAACCTCAGTGACCAATAACAATAACATCAGTGTTGCCACAACAAAAAATATTACACGAATACATTCAATATCAATTCAATCAATGTCACCCCACGTTTTCAAAGTTGAAACTCCGTCCCACGCGCGACTTTTCCATATTTGAAATGAATTTATTAATAAATTGATGAATTCTGTTTTTAATTGTTATTTAATTATTTATAATGTGAAAAATAATTATCATATTAACATAAGGCGTAACGTGCGAATCTTTGTCCTCTTAATTCTTTCGATATTATTGGCGTTATTGGCATCCAGTTTCAGAGAAACTAAATGCTAACTCATCGCAGGCTCTTTGCGCGCAGTACAAAGGGTTAGTCAAAAGGATATTTCAACGACCCCTCGAAGTAATGTTGTAAGCAACGCGCTATATAGACAGCGCTGCTAATGAAAATGAAGAAACGGAGATTGAATGCGTCACGACGTGAAGGCGTCGCGCGAGCTCAAAACGGTACTCATCCATAAATGCGTTTCGCTTTACGAAACTCACTATTACATCTCAGTAGATCAACGTGTCACTGAATTACTCGAACATTGAAAAGAGCTGTCACTGGTGTGCATCACAAAGTACCTTTTATTCTCTGTGTGTTCTTGTTACTATTTAAAAGAAATACTCTCACAGCTCTCGGAAAAGATACATTCTCCTAAGAGAAAATACTTCGTATAATTTATATTAAATTTGTTTTTAGAATTTGATCTTCAAGGTTGATTGACGATGTTTAAGACGCAATTTTTCTCTGAAAATTTAATTTGTGACTACATTAACAAAAGAGTGCATCAAGATATTTGATACTAATTAAGAATGAAAACGTAATAAGAGATGCGAGATTCTCGGATTACGCGCTCGCTTCGCGGAAGAAGTGGATTCTACGTCTTGCCTCTTTTCTGAGACATCTACTACAGTATGCAAGAGCGATCGAAAGGGATTTGTGAAGACGATCATCGGGCAAGCGCGAGAGGATGGGCGCGGCAGTTTCAGCGAGGAGAGGCGTAAAAACTCGAGAAGATTCGGGAGTAGAGCTCTGCAAAATATACTCTCGCGAAATTGTCCCGCGGGAGTGACTTCGTCCGAGTCGATTTCGCACGCGTTTAACATCGCACGAACGACGACGGAAAAGTGCCGGCAGGCAGTGTTATCTGAGGGGCGCTGCGAGAGGCGAGGCGGGAGACGAGGGGGCAGTAGGGATCGATAACCGAACAACGGGGAAAATCCCGGTGGAAAACGCGCGGGAAGCGCGGATACCGATGTTGCCGAGGGGGAGAGATAGATAGAGATAGGGGAGAAGGACGGAAGAAAGAGAGGGAGGGGGACAGAGAGAGAGAGAGAACAAAACTCGCGTCTATCGGCGGGCACGAAACCAAACTCGATTAAGTTCAAAGTTCTACTTCCGGGGTGCGTCGTAACCGGGGTAGGGGAGTGGTGTTCCGGATGAAATTAGTTATATCGCCTAAGACGGATTCTCCCGAGCGCCATTGCCGTCGCCGCAATTGCGTGCTCTCCTTTTTCTTCTATTCACGGCCGGAGACACGTGGAATCTCGCGAGGAATCTTTCTCGAGCAGCGCAAAAATTAGCGTAGATAAAGGTATCCGGGAGTCTAACTAATCTCTCGTAAGGGCGGCGGTAGGGTAGGAACGCGGTAAGGTTGGTAAAAAAAAAAAACATGGTTAACTACCGACGAGCAACGAGGAAAATTCCTGCGGATAGGACGAGTGAGAGTCTGAGGAAGGGCGAGGAGGGGGGAGAGGGGGGGGAGGGAACGGCGCTGCTCGTGCCTGTGGCAAGCTCTGCGCGAGCAAAGGGCTCGGAATAAAACTCAATTAGGTGCGGCCGAAGTTCAACTTCCGTCAAATCTTAAATAAAAAGGATTTTCCGGGGGTAAAGTTAATTAGCCTACTCTCAAGTTAGAGTATTTTTGCGCCCGGAGACGCATGGGAGACAGATCTTCTCGAGCGAGGGTAAAAAAGGGAGACGAGTGGCGCGCAGGGCGTTAAGGATAATAGATATCCCAGATCGCCCTATTTTAGTTTTCGAAGTGTCGAGAAGAGTAGCGGCAACTTTCCTCCCAACGAAGTTTCCGACAGGAGAAGAAAAAGATATTGGATACGGCGAAACTTCCGATACGACCGATACAGCTCGACAGCTGAGCTCTGATTAAAATCAATTAAAGCCATTAGCACCCAATATTTAAGTTTCTCGCAGTCCTTCGAATTCAGTCTCGCGAAATAATGGAAACCAATCGAGGTGCGGGGTCGCGGCCCTCGCCGTAACGGCGGAATGTTTCCCTTTCGGGTAAATCTGATTATACGCGATCGAGCAAAACGAAA